GAACTAATAAGAGAAACTAGCGGAAGTGCAAGATGTCCCTCCCCCTGCCCCCACCAAACGCCTGAAAACCTAGTCTACCTTCCTCGCTACGAAATATACGCAAAATGATGTAGCTCGGTCAGCGTGAAACACTATAGAACATTTGATATTACTTTGCCTATGTTAAGTAAGTACATTTCAAGCCTGAAAATAAATACGCAAGAAAAAAAAGTGGTTTCGAAAAGGCGTCCCGCAAAGATTCACCCAGAAAAAAACGTTGGCTCCAAGAGAGAAAGAATGGTAAAAGTCCAGAAGATTGTGTTGTGCTCTTCGAGTGAACTTTTGCAAAGCTCAGCCTGTTATCGTGCACAACTGGACATTTGCCACCGCCAAACGCGTTCCGCTCTAATCACGTAAGCATCTCCTTAAAGTTTTTATTCTCGGACCAAATACAATAAAAATAGATTTTTGCCTTCGCTCCCTCTGCACCCACCCAAAATATGAGGAAGTAAATGTATCACTAGGCAGTCCAGAAGTTCTGAGCCATGCAAAAATTCTATGCATAACACAAGAGCGTGGCGGAGGTGGTGTTGTGGCAGGTTGGCACACTTTCCAGGAGCACGGTCCGGGGATCAAATTTTGGACAGGCTCCCCCGAGCCGAACCGAGCCTTCTACCCTCCGGTGACGGTGCCGTGAATTGGTACCTCATACTTCCAGGAGCATCTCTGCTTTTCTGCATCGAGGTGGAGCCATCAAGCGGCGACCTGTGAAATATTGCGAGGAAATAAGTGATACCAGTGAGGCCTGTAGAGAGCACTCCTGTAAAAAATACTCAACTCCTGCAAGGCAATGAACACGTCGATGGGAAGCAGCCGAAATGTTCAAAATGGCCATACGTCCTGCTTCAATGTCTTCCCCCCCCCTCATGCCGGGGGAGTGAGGACCCATTATGTTTGATATTGTCACGCCAGACGTTAATCTGAACTTGACCAGAACTCACATCAGGTCAAGATGAACACACAGAAATGGAAAGCGACGCTATAAAAAATTTGCAAAAGCGAGTTCTTGTTGGGTTACGATTTTGAAGAAGCCAGCCGAGCAGATAGTGCGGTTCCGGGTAATCTTGTCGTTTGTGCAGCATAATTGGAGAGGCAATCACATGTGGCAAATTGGAATCTCTTCGAGATCCCAGAGAGACTTCGATGGGATCTCATTACCGACCGGTGCGCTTAGTGAGCAGTCTACTTTGAGAACATAGAGGCAAGGCGATCTCTAATCCCGACTTCAATCGCTACTCATAAGTCTATTTAGACGAGCTTGCACTTGACAGTGCATTGTGAACAAAGTCACCGTAAACCCACCTGCAAGCGGCGTCAGACAACACTGTTGTCGGATTTCACTTTACATGGAATTTTTTACAGGAACCCCATGAGGAACAGAACAGCTTTTCACGCTCTCTTCCTCGCCAACTCAAAGGGTGGTCTTGAAGATCGGACTGGTGTGCGCGAGCAATGCGCTCTTCTACACATTATGTTGGCTGTTATGTGGTGACCTGCATTGATCCTAAACTGCAGCCGGTAGAAGAAGAAGCTGCAGCTAGGGTGGTGGTGGATTTCTTCGATGCTTCCAGGCTCTGAAAAAGAGGATCCCACCGAAGTATAGGCCAAAAAACAGTTTCCCAAGCTCGCATGGAGTTGAAGCGAATCACCTTACAATCGTTCCGTGCTGAATGAGATATGACGGTAGCGTGGACCAGGCGGTGAAGGCTCGAATCGACGCAGCCTGGATGAAATGGAGGGAGTCCACGGACATACTATGCGAACGGGCTCGAGAATGCCGAAAGGCAAGGTGTAATAGTTAGCTCTACGATCTCTTCGATCCTCTACGGCACCAACTGCTGGCCCATATGCAAGAATCATGAAAGGCAGCTCCACTCAGCTGAAATGAGGATGCTGAGATGGGCCTGCGGCTGGACACGACTCGACAGAGTCAGAAACGAGGACGTCAGGCGTCACACAGACGGCTCCGATCCAGCTGAAGGCACGAGAGCAGCGACTGCGATGGTATGGGCACGTACTGAGGAGGCCTGAAGACCACCCAATAAGGAAGGCATTGGAACTGAAGTAGAGGGCGACCACGAAGACCACGAGACCAAAAAAAGATGGAGGGACGTCATCAAGAAGGACCTCACTGAAGTGAAAGCCCCGGCAGAAGATGGAGTGGATCGGAACAACTTCAACGTCTTACAGGAACAGCGACCCTGCGCTAGGGAGAAGAAGAAGTAGTAGTAGCAAAGAAGGCGTTGCTGCACTCGGACGCGTTACGGAGATCTACGCGAGTAAGTTATCCTTGTTTTTTCCCAAAGTCGGGAAATAAGTTGTACTTGCTCGAAGAAGCAAATGCAACAACTCTTCATGGCTGACCACATGAAATGTCATTACAACGGATGAATATGTCTTGACAGGTCCCATGCTCAGGAACTGAAGTTGAGTGCATGAGTTATCCGAAATAAAGTCATGATATCTGCAAACGATATAGCGCGTGAAAAGGCGTAACGTGTAGGAACCAGAACAGTCTTTGCCGCCAATGGTTGCGGAGTTATGATGGCATCATTAGGGGAACACGCCACTTGGCAGAGCTCCGACCCGCGCCAAATGCATCTCACCTGCATTATCACCTCCCATCCTAGTGACCAACAATTTCTCCCAATAGACTATTTCCATCCCTCCTCGTGGATCAAAGTAGACTTCACTCCTCGTAGGCGAGAAAACCCGTCTACTTCGTCCTCTCATTCTGATGTCCGCTCGACATTCCGAAGAATTCCTTGGGTAACAGCTCTAGTCCAACGGTCATCATGTCATGTCCGGCACACGTGATCTTCTATTTCGTGGCAGAGGCGGCAGCGTCCCTGATCCTTGACCACCTACGAAGCTCCGAACGGTATTCCTAACTGCTCACACGAATTGGGAAACCCCAGCCTTGGATCTCTTCAGTGCGCGTTAGATAACGCCGTTCCACTTGCATGGAATCCAGCAATCCCAGGTTTATGGCCAAAAAAGGCGAGAAAATCAAAAAGGTACATGCGGAGCCGGATGCAGTACAGGTACTACTTAGGGACTGGAAGCCTAGGATTACACTCGATTGTCATGAAAGAATCGGGCACTTCCTCCAGACCAGAGAACATGCGATTTAGTGGCACCTTGTACGAAACCCTGGTTGTTGGGGCCACCTTCCATTCACTGTGTTAACTATATGCTGTACCCTTACCTTCGAGGGAGCGGAATATTACAGGGGGGGGCAAAGAAAGACACTTCGACCGAGTCACATATCAGCTAAGTTTTCGCAGCCCAGACAGAGGATGTGGATACGAGTACCAGGGCGGAAGATACCCAAAATATTCCTCGATAAGCAGGAAGCCTGGCTCTCGCCCATCACCTTCATGTACACCAAAATATGAAGTCATCTCCAGTCGCAGCCTGACTGGAGAAGACCTTTGGAATTCATGTCACCTCCAAACAGCTGCGAAACTTCTAGTATGGAGTCACCCATGGATAGCTACCTGGAGACCAGTACTCTCGATCTGGATGACCTCCAACATCGAGCAGCTCCGACAACGTCGCTACGGTCTAGGACATCATCTTCACCGCAGTCGCCAAGGCGCGGGTTGATGGTATGGACCGGAAGTACCTGGAATGGGAAAGACCATGTTCAGAAGGCTGTTGGTGGAGACATCAAGATCGATTTCGAATTATCGAGTGCGTATAGAAATGTCGATCATGAATTTGATAAAGTGTATCTTATTTAAGCGCCTCGAAAGTCAAGTAGGAGGACCCCCCCCCCCCTGTAGATACGGCACCTTAGCGTCATTACCTCATTACCCTGAAGTCTTATTCCCGTACACTTTTGAAGGAGAAAGTGGCACGAAACTCGCATTCTAACAGGCAGTGCGTGAGGAGTCGACCCAGAGTCTTGACAACAACCAGAGGATGCGTGGGCGGGCCAATCCCTGCCTAATTTCTTTCTTTATTCATCATTCCCCCAAACGGCGGTGTTGGGCTACGGAGGGGTGCGTCACACTCCTCCCAGCTTCTTTTATTAGTTTCTCTTGAATTACACGTTTCCTTTTTTGTGACCTGTACTTTCTTGTGAAGTGTAAACGAAGCCCTTACTACTGCATAGCTTTACAGGAATTTACATGTCTCGACAAGAGGCATCAACGATCAATGGAAACTAGCGAAACGCCCCCACCAAGCCGTTTTGCGCCCTCCAGACTTATAGCTGAAAAGCAATACTCTCTGATGAGCTCAAAATGTTTTATTTACACCAACAACACAATTACAAAATGGTATAAAATACCCGAATACACTCACAACATCGAATGTTCTCAAAAAAGCCACATAAATACTCGCGGAACAGCCGTGTCAAATTCTATCACAAATACATAAAAAACAAAATTTCCCCTGAAACTAAAAAAGATTAATTTTTTCAATGGGCGCTTCAACACTGAAAAAACTGAAAGGATATTTTTGAAATTAAATGTCATTGGTAATTATTTATTATTACAATCAAGACTAGACCGAAGCTTGGAAAAAGCATCATTTCACAAGTTCTTAGTACATGAAAAAATTGAAAAGAAATATTCATACCTCCACAGAACCAAACTAAGCGTCACTAAATTCCTGACAAAAAAAAGTTATTTGAAAAAATGAGCGCAGTTCGGCTTGGGGGGGGCACCAAATGGTATCGAACCCTGCACATGTCACCTTGAGAAAACCTATAAGGTCTTGTAACCAACGTGGCTCATTTGCAGCATTTCTGCAGCTTCATACGTGTTTCCAGGTCTCACCGAAGTGAGAAATGCTAATTAACATGAAACAGGAAAAGGAATTTGCAAAAGTGCAATAACCCCTCCCAAGCCGAACAGCGCCGAAAATCCAATCAAATTACAAAATCGAGTAGATATTACACGGACAACATAAAGCATGTCAAAATAATCGACAAAAATCCTTCAGCATCTTACTTAAGACCGAATTTCATGAGAAATCGGCTCCATTGGGGGTCCTTGACGAAGCACTTTCCCGTTTGCCATCTCTATTACCGTATCAAACTCGGACAGCCCGTGAAGAACATGTGTGATACATATGACTGTCGCCATTGGTAAGTGAACGGAAATCAACGACATCATTCGACGATGAACTGTTTCATCCAAATGTGATGTTGCCTCATCGATCAGTACCACCTGCAAAATTAGAAAAAAATAACTTTCATCTGACAGGTATGTAGTTACAAGTAGTCATTTGTTTATTCAGCAAATACTATTCTGCCAGGGAAAGTAGAGTTCATACTCAGCGATGACGCTCGTCGACGCGCTGCAACACGCATAGTCGCGCGCCCACGCGGTACAATCGTAACAGTGTAATGATAGAGACGGAACGCAGCTGCAAACGAAAATCGATCGGTGCTGGCAACTAGTGTATTGAGAGAGTATGGGGACTATGACGGTGCGCGTAACACCAGCTGCAAACACGAAAACGATCGGTGCTGGCAACATATGTTATTGAGGAGAGTATGGGGACTATGACGGTGCGCGTAACCTAATCACGCATACTGGTATCCATCGACACTGGCCGCCTCGGCTTTGGGATGGCATCGAAAAATGGAAGAGTGTCAGAATGAGGAAAGGCAGCGCGTACCCTCTTGTTATTCTATATTTTCTGAAAACACAAGCTGACCTGGGCCGATCGATTCCCATCTGCGGCACGTCTATAAGATCGGAGCGCTGCCGCAACTGTGGCGCGTCGACGCGCGTTACAGCGCGTCATCGCGAAGTCTGAACTTCCCGGAAGAGGGTGGGTGGGGGATGGGGTTGTGTTTACCTCCAAGAAAAATGGGTTTGGTTATCGAGTTGACATTCTCGCTTTTTCCTGCTTCGGGTGTGCTTGATACATTCTCCCTTGACGAAATTTAGGGCAATGGTAGGTAAGATGATGATAAGGGGGGGGGCATCAAAGGTTTCGAGGAGGTATGGTCGTATTTCCCCAAAGTTTCTCCAGCGGTAGAACGCGCCCTCCCTGTTCGTGTCTTCCGCAATACAGGTCGAACTATTTACTAACCGACCTTATCCGTACGACCCCCACCCCCCCCCCAAGTCCCTTCTCTGATACGTCCCCATCTCTATCCTACCCACCATCTTCATCAGTTTTCCGATTTACAGCCACAGTTCCAATTTTCTCAGCTTTCTCCAAAAATTTGGCGTTGGGCAAGAGCGGATGGTGGTGGGTCGTCACGAATAAATACTCATTTCAACTATCGGACACAGAAGTTGGAGGCGCAGTTTGTCGACGGGGGGGGGGCATTTTGCTTTCCATAGATGTGTCGACCCATCTAGGTAGCGTTTCTCGAGTTGACACGTTTTAGGATGGTGGCTAGACGATCTTGCTCCAGCTTCACAAGCGTTCACAAGTTTTACCAGAGTGAGATTTGTAAACCGGAACTAGGGAAGCAATGGTAATACAAAATGCCCCCCCCGTCGACAAACAGCGCCGAAGTTGGACACCAACAACTACGGAGGGCGACTTACTACGGAAAAATTCCCATCAAGGCCAGATACGACCCCCCCCCATCAACCAAACAACAACCCCTCATCTAAGTCAGTCGGCCAGGTACGAGCCCCTGATGGGATTTTCCCAACGACGCTGCACCCTGCTTCGTAAAAGTTTCCAGAAAAAAAAACTCGTCGATCGGGGAAGGAAGGGAGCAATTTCCGTTTTTTTAGAAACACTCTTTCCTATGTACCTATGAATACAGACCGCAGGCACGAGGCCTCCCCATATGTTCACCTCCAACACCACCCCGCCAGATGTGGATTTCACGCTGACATTGTACCAAGATGGTAGTTAAGAGTGATTTTTGCCAAGTAATCGATCTCAAAACGAAAAAAAAACATTCGTAATCTTAGATTTTGACACGTTTCTGGTTAATTCAACAGAAACGACGGTCGAGAACGCATGATTCCGCTTTTTCTTCACAAAAACCTGTCCCCTCCCCACTATAACACTCACCTTGCATTTTGCTAACAGAACACGGCAAATTGAGATGATTTGTCGTTCTCCAAACGACAAGTTCTTGCCGCCTTCGTCAATCAGGCCATCTAGACCACCAATTCGAGTCATTAGGGTATCTAAAGAAATATCAGTGATTCCAGAGCGATCTAGCCAATGACCGTAGCAAACAGTGAAATGAGGGGGCGTGTTGACATACCTAGATGTGCCACACGAGCGATAGTGGCAACTTGACTTGTGTCGACGTGCTCACAGCCGACTATCAGATTCTCGAAAAGTGATCCGCTGAAAGAATGATCTACTAAACTTGCTGATGCTTCGAATCTTCCGAAGGACATTTTGAATATGTAAGTTAACTTTACATCTCGCCACTTTTTTTCCTTCATACACGCTTGATTTTCTACTCCACTTCATATCCGAGAAATAGGTGGGGCGTGGCCTCGTACTTCATTTAATGTGGCCGCAGGTGCATTCTGGTCGGACAGCGTCGTTTTGGGACAATTGTGATCATGCTTGTGTACAGCATAAAGTATGATGACAACTGCCTCGAATGGAAACTTCCTTCAACGTATCCCACGTTATGGTAAAATGAATTATGCAGCCACGCCCTGTCCATTTCTGGGATATGGAGTGTATCTCAAAAAGGGTACCACATGGTTGAGAGATCCTCGTGCGGGAGAAGGGAGAGGATCGGGTCGCTGATCATGGAAGCCGTTTTTATCTCTGAGAAAACTGAACCGCGAAACAATTACTTCCAGTTGTTGGTTCGCTTACCCCCCCCCCCCCCTAGTTACCGGCGCCTTAGAACTACTGTACAACTACTACTTCCGATGGTTGAAATGAATACTCGTCAGCTGACGACTCTCCTCCCCCGTCCAGATTAATGGTTTTCGTGCGGCTTAGGTAGTTTTTCTTAGACCTTGTTCTTGACAGTTCACTTGAACTAGACTCAGTCGCTGCGAGTCTCAAGTCCATGGTGAAAAAGGGCCCCGTACCAGCCAGCCTTTTTCTATAGGCAGTCTCAGCTGATACGGGGTAACGAACAGGAACGAACAGTCCATACGAATAATGCTATCAAGTGGTAAAAAGGTCATGCGGAGCGGGACACCCTCTCCTTGCTCGGCGCCACTTTTTTGAGGGGAAAATTAGAAAATCAAGGGCAGTTCGGCGATGGGGGTGAGGGAGGGGCATTTTGCACTTCTGCTATTTCCCATCAACACGTCGACCAATCTAGGGAGTCTCTTATTGAGTTGACAGGTTTTACCACGTTGGTTCCACGAGCTTGCTCCAGCTTTGCAAGAATTCACAGAGTAAGACTTGTAAGCCGGAACTAGGGAAGCAATGAAAATGCAAAATGTCCCCAGTCGCTGAACTGCGCCGAAAATCCTTTGAAAGACTGGGAAAAACTGCTAGGAAGTAGGGAGGATTTAGGAAGATGGTTGGTAGCATAGGAAAAAGGAGTCGTACCAGATGGGGAAATTTTTGGTGAATGAGACGCGAACTGACCTTTCAAAAACTCTGAATGGTCTCAAAATTTTGAATGCAACTTTTCAAATTTAATGAGCCTACCTGAATATAAATGGATGTTGCGGCACAACACCAAACGCACGCCGTAACACAGGCAGAGGAATCGATGAAGTTGGGTACTCCATCCAGCAATATTTTACCAGATTCTATTGATATCATCCGAAGGAGGGCCTTAATAAAGATGAAATCAATCAAATGCGAAACATTTTACCAGATGACGCAACTCGGCTTGGGGGGGCACCTGATGAACCGTACAAAGCTAGTTAAGGCCACCTGTGAAGACTGTAAAATCCTGTAACCGAAAATGGCTCACTTTATCCTTTCGTCTGCCCTCCCAAGCCGAACAGCGCCTAAATCTCAACAATACCTGGAATATACTGCTTTTCCCGCTGCCCGTTCTACCAACAATCGCCACTTTCTCGCCAGCGTTTATTGAGAGGTTGATATTATCAAGAGCCAGCGGCAAATAGCTATTATATCGCAATGACACCTGATCGAATTAAATCGTAGGCGCCCTGAAATTGTGATAAAACAGAACTAAAATTTCACCGTTATTCAACAAAATTGAAGAGTAAAAAAAAGCAGAGGAGTTTGATGATATAGCACACAAACGCTTACATTACCATTTGGGTAACCATTACCCAACCCACAGAACGGTCAAGAGAAGCGTAGCTCGCCGCTCTGTCGCGCGCGACGCATCGTGCGGCAGTGGGCGCGGCGTTTTCTCAATCTGTATCAACCTGTCGATTAGAGCAGCGGATTTCATGTAGACTACGACACGTAATATTTATGGCTATTTTTGGTTAAAGATCCTCTACCGAAGTCATCTGCCACCTAGAAGCATCGCTACTGCGGGGGCGACGTCGCAGGGAACACCCGCCAGAGCGGGAAATCACGACTGTCTTGCCACATAGCCCAGAGCTAGGAGCTGGTAAGCCTGGATGACTTTGAAAATTACGCGGGAAATTGAGATGTGAGTGTTAGACCTATTTTTCCTCTACAAAAACTGGAATATTTGCAAATTGCGAAGGGAGTAACGCGCACCACGTAAACAATCGGACAACAACACTAACATGAATCGGAAAAAAGCCGATAAATTATCGTTTAAAAGATACCCCTTCGCCACTGTCATCTTCCAATTGTACATTTGTGAGGTAGTCATCTATCCTCTCAACAGATACCATTTCTTTCTCGGTTTCGATGAAGGAACCCAAAAGTCCGTTCAGTAGGCTGGTCAGCGATAACGCGTACGTTATTGCCAACGCGACAAGGCCTAGAAGGGTATTCGTTTCTCAACAAAATAATGTTTCAAACAGAGGAAAAAACGCCACTGAGCAAAATCGAAGGCGCTGTTCGGCTCCAAGGGGGCATTTTCTACTTTCGCCGTAATGCCCGTGTTATACTTTGCGGCAGCGTCCACAAATAAAGGGGTTTTTTTTTTTCCCCCAGCATTCCGTCCTTTATCCGCTGCGATAGGGAAGTATAACATCGATCTTAGTTCTGCAGCGTCTACCAGACAGCGCTTCACCAGCGACCGGGAGTAGAGAGTATGGGGAAGTAGGAGGGTGGCAAACAGTTGGATTAGGCGTCGTGAAATGGCGGCGTATGCAACCGCACCGTACAACTACACTACATTAAATTCCATACTGTGCTTTAGCAATTTCACGGTGCGGTTGCAAACGAGTACCAATTTCACGACGCCAAAACCAGCTGTTTGGTATCTTTCTTAATTCCCATAGTCTATTCCCGTCGCCGTGAACGCTGGTAGAGGCCAGGTGCATATCATTCTTGCCTAGCCCCTGAGACTGCTGGCAGACGCAAGATCGATGTCCCTACTTTTCTGCACCTGCCGGACGCCCGGAACGCCAGTTGGCCTGGTAAACGCTGCCGCAATGTATGAACGCAGCCTAAAGCTGCCAAATAGGACGAGTCTTTTTGCAACAGGAGTTCACCTGTCTCCACAGGGTGGCTAGTACAAGCTTCGCTGGAGAACCATCTAGTGCCCCCACCAAGCCGACTGCGCCAAATCGAATGCATAAATTTCTCTAACCTGAATCGACTCCCGTGATTTGATGCTGTATCACTGCCGAAACGGCAATCGCTGCAACGATACTCACGGCTATAATCGACAGCCGGATAGATAACCATTGACCAGCAGCAATTGATGAGAACTGCGCTCGCATGTTCACTGTCAGACGTTCACGTAACTTCTTTCCAAATCTTAACAACGGCTGTTAAATTTTGAAGAAAAACGACCGTCAAATTACAGATTTGTCATTCCTCATATGCGAACTTAAAGACACATTGCGCACCTTTCTGCGAGAGGTCGATCTTTGCTATGTGCACGGTTAATGACTTGCAGCTGCAGTACGGTGCCACTTTCCCCGTTCAAAAGTGGACGGGAACGGAGGGGTACTGATACATAGGTGCAGTTCCGAACTCTGCTCACTCTATCATTTAGGTGTAGCCCTTGCGTTGGTACCAAAAACTCGCAGCGAACACACAGTCAGAGGTAAGAACAACCAGAAGTGAGAGAGCGCAGACAAGCAGCGCGTTTGGCTATGGCTAGGCGTGTGGCTGGCCGTGCAACAGTGCGGTGGAGTATAGAGACGGCATCCAGGTAA